ATTTATGAAAGCTGCTGTAATATTGATAATTAATAATGACATATCCTCTCCAAAGTTTTTGTTAGAAGTAAATACCATTTTTGGATTCTAATATTCTAGACAGTTACTGTTTTATTTCAGAGATTTGGAAGTTTTATCAAGCTTCGAATTTAAATAGTACACTAAAGTATCCATACTCTGAACTTGGAAACTTTTAAAAAACTATAATACTTAAAGTAGCTATAGAGTACACTACAAAAATGAATTGACCTATACTCAAAGGTGGTAATGACTTTCTATATGGAATTAAATCATATTTATAAATTACAGAATTAACCAGTAAAAGAAAGGCGTCAATATAGTTATAAGTTTTCAAAATGGCGCTTAGAAATTATGATGTTTGAGGAAAAAAAATAAAAAACTCTAAGTACACTTTTAATGCATATCACTCTTTACAAAATTTAAGCTGTCATTTCCCATGTTAGAGAACATTTAATTAACCTATCGTATATAAAAAAAAATTAAAGTTCATTTCTATTCCTTTTGGTTCGTTTTTCATTTTCCTCTCTTACCATTTTTGCAGCACAATAAGCATAATGCTTGTTGCTAATCTCATATACATAATTTTCATACTTTTTACAAACATCTGTATCTAATATAAAATCTTTATGGGCTCGTTCCCTATCTTGAGCGCTAAGAGGATAATACTGTCTATCGTGACAAGAGTAGGCGACTAATGGCCATTCAGACCTCCCCAAATGGTTATAATTTGATTATAACTATACGATAGTGTAAGGGTTAATTTTAAATTATCTTTTGGTAAATTTTTTAAAATATCCACTGTGTGAACAATACCCCCACCAGAAAAATATCTTTTTTATTGGTTAAACCTTCATAAACTATCCGTAAATTTGATAATTCAAAGTCAAAAATATTAGAAAATCTTCCTATGATTTGTATCATAGTAGGCTTTTGATAGTCATCTGGGACAATTTTAGCATCAAGCCTAACATCTCCTATAAGATAACGGCACATTATTTCACAAGGCTCTAATTTTTCATAATGTAAAACCCCACCTTGATCTAAAGTGACATAAATTGTATAGGGTGTTCTATTAATAATAATCCCTGATGAAAGGAAAGTAGGAATGAAAATCAATAACGTGATAAAATTGAATATTTTCATAATAAATGACTTTCAGATAATATTTTATTTGAGAAAAGTTATATTTGATTGCTTGATTGCTAAAAATGATATTAAATCGGAAATCTCAATCTAATGCATGACGATCAGGGTTATTATCGCGAGGATCTTCACATGTAAGTTCAAGGGCGTAAATCTGGTTGCTAATTAAGGTTAGAAAGAAGATAAGAAGGGTAAGTTGCGATATAAAGTCAAGGGGAAAAAAGATTGAGATCGATAGTGCCTTTTTTCTTCGCTGCCCGACCCTTCCCAAGAGGAAAAGGAAAGAAATGAATAAATAAAAGAAGACTTAAATTATGATTGGGGAATTAGAATTATAGGAAATATAAAGGGAAGAAATGAGTAATTTGATTGCTGGCTTACCGATGTACGGATGGTTCACTCGTTGGAATATATATTAATATATTGAAGGGGTTATTTAAGAGTGGAAATTTGTGAGAAAGCATGAAGCAGGGAAATGAGTAGCTCGGGGACGTGCTTACCGACGTATGGTGGAAAGCGCTCGGTAACCTGCTCTCTGAATCACAGGTATATAAATATAAATGAATATGAATATAAATAAATAAATGAATAAAAGTAGTAGTAAGGAGCACAGTCGCGGTATGCCCGATTCTCTTATTTTTCGCCACGTGATTTCAGCAAATAGTTTGTGAATATGTGTTAATTGGGAACTTTGTAAAACACCATGTAAATAATGGGGCATGAAAGGAGCCGCAGCTCGGCACAGCTCCCATTGTGTTATTTCGTCCGATTAATAAATTGATCCGGGCGAGAATAATACCAAGAATGGAGATGTCATGGGCTGAGTGCTACAAAAAAAAAGATCGAAAATTGATATAAAATTTATAATAAATAATAAAAAAAAATTTCAATTTCTGACCTATACTGCAAAATTTTCTTAATACATCTGAGTTTGTGTCTTAAGTAAAAAAAATGATTCTGATTTTATTCCGAATTGATTTATGCAAAAAAATGGTTTTTGAAAATTTGTCAATTTCCCTTTTTTTTGCAGCTCCCAGTCCATATACCAGGAACGTAGTACAAAGTACGGAGTGTATGGTTAAATACAAAGTTTTGCGTTCGTCCGCAAAATCTTGATTTTGATTGGATGCAATAATCGAATGATTTCATTACATAATTATCACATTCTTGTTAATTGAAAATCAAAATCAAGTTTGGATCTTGATTAGGGATTGGTTCGGTCGGGTTATGACCGGTCAGGATAGATTAGTATTATTAGCTGAGAAACAAAAATTCGACTCCACCAGGGCGGCCACGAAAATTACGGGTCATGTGATATCGTCGATCATCCCCGGCCTGCCGATGACGATCCAAGATTACAGATCACGTGTCATTATGTAATCATCTACCAATCATAATTTACATATATGATGATTATCAAAAAATTTTTCGATTAGACGTACGTACGTACGTACGTAAAGACTTTTATCTTTATTACATTTACATAAGCACCGTTCATTTCTACGTAGTCATTAATTATCAAATATAGAAATAACTTCTATACTTTTTTAGAAACTATTTCTAAATTAGATACCACTAACGGCAAATTGAATAGAGCAATTAGTTACGTTAAACGAAAAATTTTATATACAAAATTCACTAATAATTTTTATTTGAAATTTAACCGGCACTAGAAAGAATAAACCTCTAAAAATGAAGATAAGTTAGTCGAATTACTCTATATAATTAATAAGTTAGTCGAATTACTCTACATAACTAATTTTAATTTTTTTTTTTTAGTTTTTCTAATTTTTTTTAAAAAAACCTAAGCATAGCGAATTATCATTTAAGAGTCAATTATTGATAATTATGGTAATAAAATAATTCGATAACATATATATCTTTAATTGGTCTCTTTGCGCACTCTAATATTTTTTGCAGCTGTGGTGTATAGAACATTTTCACTAGAGCTTGCTTTATTTGTAGAATTATTCAATTCGTCTGGATATGACAAATACATCAGGTATGGTTTTGTGGCTGATGTAGTGCTTGACAAAATCAAGTAAAAACTTGATTGTCAAGTTTTTGATTAAGTTAAATCTCAGATCAGTGATTTATTT